AGTGTCTGCAACCCTTAAGTGGAAATATATATTACACTAGAAAATGAGAATACAAAAAGGAAGTGATGCCTTTTCTGTGGGAGGCAGCTCTCTTCACAAAATGAAATAAATCATGTGAGAGTGCAAATGCATCTGCAAGCATCAGTGAAAACAGTCTTGTAGTGCTCCTTCTCCTCATAGTTGTAGCTTGGCCTCTGTGTGCCTGGCAGGGATCAGCGTAATCTGAACCTCCCAAGGGGCACGTTGCAAAAAAGGAGTAAAAACGTCTGTTGCTTTTATATGTATGTTTGAAAGGCCCATCGCTCCCTATTGCTGTCCCCTCGCTGAGAAGGTGATCAGCTGTTTGGGTGGCCAGTCAAGCCAGTCTTTTTGTTTGCATGTTTGAAATCCCCCCATGATAATTACTGTGCTACATTATGCAGCCTTGAATCTGGGCAGGCGGATTGGCCTGTGTTTGAAGTAAGAGTGAAAAGGGGCCTGCAGCGCACAACCACATATTTCAAATCTGGAGAGCAGTAGTTTGAAATTGTGGTTATGTCATTTCACCAGCTGATGACTGTTTTCTAGCTGAGCACTGCATTGTCACTGACACAGAAGAGCTAAAAAGACGAGTCACTGGCGAGTGCCCTTATTAAATGATGTTTTGGTGAAGCAGAGAGCAGACATCCATTCATATTTTACGTAAGAACACGAGGACTAGGCTCAGTTGGGTTGTTGTCTTTGGCAATAGTTTAAGACATGAAAAGAAATCATCCAGGCAGTAGATGTTGTTCTGGTAGGTCTTTGTCTCTTCAGCAGTACAGAGGAACACTTTTACCTCCTTGAAATTGAGTTTTGGTGTTTGGAGAGCCTGACACCAAAAGCAGCTATGCTTTACTAAATAATTTGCAAACCTGCAATGGGATTCAGCAGCAACAAAAGGCCCACAGTGAGACAGACACCGTCAGTGAATATATGAGCAGATCACTAGATATGCAGCAATTAGTCGATTGACCGATTAGTTGGCAGCTATGAAATTAATCGCCAATTATTTTGATAATTAATTCATTGCTTTGAGTCATTTTTTTAACAAGAATTCTCTGATTTCTCTGACCTGATCTGAGTCACAGCAGGATTCTGACAGGATTCTTGCTGGATTCCAGCTGAGACGCAGCTGCAACTGTTCTGCAGCGTTATAAAACGGTTTCATCTTGTCACAAACAGACAAAAGTCTTCTTTAAACATCTTTAATAAGTCTATAAATAAAAGGAAAATTCCAAAATATGGGACATTTACCAGGTTTAAGTTGCCTGAAATAGCAAAAATCTGTTAAATGAATCTGCCATATGTAACAGCAGAAAGTTACATACTGCATATTATGCACCATATGTGTCCTCATTTACATTGACCACTTGAGGACGATAAGGCCCGACAGGAAAGTCCGCTTAAAGGACCTCTTGAGCCTGGAAGTTCCCATCTGGGTGGTGCAGCCCTTTCAGACGGATGTGGCCGAATACAGGCCCATCTCGTCGGCATTCAAAGAAATAACGAGGCCCGGGCTACTTCCCGACCCTCTGGCTGGGGCAGTAAGTGGGTCAAATATGCGCAGTGTTACCCACTCCAGTCTGATTCTTACTTTCCCAACAACATACCTACAGTAGTTGAGTCTTCCACACGCAGCTCTTGTCTTCTCTTTTTGATTAGCTGTAATTAAAGCTTGAATGTCAAATTTCTAACCTGTGCATTTTTTAAGTTTACGTTTTTTTCTCAATGAGAATTTATTAATAATGATATATAGTTATGTTTATTCCCTGAATATTAATGTAGATTATTATTGTTATTTATTCTGATAATCATCATCATAGTTATAAACATAATAATAATCAATATTAATATTAAGCAAAAACAATTAGCCTTATACCTTCTGCCTCTTTTGCTCTCCACATGGACTGTATACCTGCATGCAAGCAAAGCCTTCTTGGTTGCCTGTAAATACTACTGAAAACCAAACGCTTCTGATGCCCAAATCTTGTCCCTCGCCTACATATTCTACATTCATTTGTACAGATTCTACATTCATATCTAGAATCTGTTTCTAGACAGTAGGGTGAGGCAATAAATTCATAGATACATTTGAAAGATACAAGAAACTATTTGCAGATACCAAGAGGGATAGGTAAGAAAATATGTTTTTGTAACTTGCCCTTTAGGTCAGCACTGACTATTCATTTTCATACTGAAATGTTTTGATCTGCCTTGTGTGTAAGAGTTCCACATTTAGATGTGTGTTGTTGTCAGTGCAGTGTGTGACAGTGGAGCCAGCAGCGGTGTCTCTCAGAGAGCATGGTGTCCCTTTCCCTCCTCCTCCAAGAGCAGTGGCTCTGCTTTTGTGTGCTAATGCACTTTTTGGCCTTCCTTTTAAAATCCTACCACTTTTTCCTGTATTTCTTCCAGCTTGGGGTTCTCAGAACTTACATGACTAACCGCATCAGTGACCCTCTGCCATTCTTCTTTTTTCTTTTTCTCTGAAATGTCACTGCTCAAGCCTCCAGACAATCTATTTACTTTCTTTTACACTAGTTTCTTCTTCAAAGTTCAATGGCAGTGGAATGGAAATTATACTTCAGGGTTTTCTCTCACCGGCCTACACCATCTTACCTAAGTGACCCTTTTCCTGCTCACACAGTGTGACAGTTGAGTGGAGATGTCCATCAGTAACTACCTGCATAATAATGAACTTATTAGATTAGTCAGTTAATCAATTACTCGATTGACAGAATAACAAGTTAGTTATTAATTTAGTCTACAATTTTGATAATTGATTATTCTTTTAGGTAATTTTTTCAACAATGGCAAATATTTCCAGCTTCTACAATGTGAAGATTGGCTGCTTTTAGCCTTTCGTGATTATAAACTGATTAGGGCTTACCCCGACTAAAGATTTTCCTAGTTGACTAGTAATAAATTAGCTCCTCTTTCTCCGTTTCAAGCCTCTTCTGTTCTGAGTTTTTTCCCCACACAATACACACACTACTAGTGTTTAAACTCCCCTTGCCCTTTGAGCTCCCAGTCCAGGTACAGTCAGCCAAAAGGACTGCTAACTAGCTAGTGGCAGCAGCTAGTACAGTTGGTAAGTGACTCCCTTTGTTGCAACAATCCTCTGATACTTGTCCCAGTGACAAGGCGCAACTCCTGAACAGAATTCAACGTTTTTGTTCTTCTGCGACTATCTGGCAAAAACTGTGATTATCTGGTTATCATGGCTCCTGTCAGTGGGGG